GTTGAGAGACCTGTGCTAGAGCCCCGAGCAAACCAAGTTACACACATCGTCACAGCCTTATTTTCCCCATGCTCTACCCACCCCTCAGTGTTGCCATGAGGCTTAGATGAACTACCAATGTGTGCATTCTGCACATGCGTTCTCAAGTATGAAGTGCTATCTGTTTGAAAGATGGTGAGAACGGTTGCCCGTGTTGATCAGCTGCAACGTGCCCGACACCATGTGGAGAACTTTAGATGGATTATCTAATTTTCATCACAGCCCCCATGGGGTGGGTAATATTGTTCCCATTCACAGAGGGGCAGAACTAAGACAGAGGTTATGTCACTTGGCCAAGGTCACTGCCTAAGCGGCAAGGCCAGGGCTGGAACCCCAGGTCTGACACCAGCGCCCGTAATTCCTAATCCATTTCACAGGTGACCTCTGAGCAGCTCCTTTACCCTCCCCCTTCCTGGGCAGGGGGTGTCCTTGGCAAGTCCGTGAGCGTGTGCGTGTGTGGACTACCTCACGGAAAGGGTCATCCAAGCCCCGCGAATGGCCGACACACCCGATGTGTTTCGAGGGGCTCCCCAGAAGCCAGGAAATGCATGTGCCAAGCCCCCTCCCTGGCTGGTCAGGTAGAGAGGCTGTTCTGTGAGCGGGCAGGAAATTGGGGCAGTACGAGGCCAGAGGTCACAAGAGGTATCCAGGGTGATTTTATTCTAAGACAGAAGGAGAAAGGAGCGCTCTCCAGGAACCTTATCAGGGTCAGCTGAACTCAGCTTGAAATCCAGAGTGGGTGCAACCCTGAACAGGAAGTCTGGGGGCAAAACCCTCGTATCCTGATGAGTCCCTGGAATGTGCTCACAGCTTAATCGCTCGGTTGGCAGGGTTATTAGCAAAGAGGATTCAGTGAGCAGCCACACTAGGGGAACTGATGCTCCTTGCTGTGTGCGTCACATGGCCGATCCCCTGGAGATGCCCTTTCAGACAGGCCTTTGAGGCGGGCGGCGACTTCCGGAAGGGCCTTGTGGCAGGTAGTCCCTGCAGTAGCTCGGCCCGAGGGCCTGTGCTGCTCCTCTGTCCTGAGCCACTTCTGAAGTCTGCAGGTGGCCCGAGGAGAGGTGGAAATGCCCTTCCAGGTTCCAGAAAGAGAATTTCAGAATTTTCTCGGCTCCTTGTATTAAAGTAACCTCTCCTCTTCCAGAGTGAAGCCTGAGCAGGGCCTCAGTGTCAGTTGTCGCATTTCTTCTAGTAGCCTCGGCTTTTTGTCCGGGTTGCATTTGGTTTTTATTGCTGTTTCTTTTGTGGAAGGGGGGTGGCAAGAAAGAGCATATTCAGTCTTGCTGCCCCGAGGACTTGACGTTGAACCAACTTACCACCTTCTGCACTGACAAGGCTTAGTGGAAACGGAGACCAGCCTCAGATTGTCTGATTACCCCAATCCTGGTGAAGCCTTCCATTTGCACCTGAGACAGAAAATGGCTTGATGTGAAGTTTCTCTTCTTTTCCATGCCCTGGCCCAATTTTGGGGGGTGTGCACACCACCCGTGTGGAGGAGTTAATATTTGACGGCGTGTTTAGAAGCCAGCCTGGAGGAGTGAGGCAGAAGAGAAGCAAAGGCACAGAAAAGCAGATCCACCCCCCACCCCCACCTCTCCCACTAGCTAAAAAGTCAACAGCCTTTATTTCCTTATCACTGGAAAGAAGTTGTCTCAGTCACACAATGGAATGAGCATTGCAAATGGGTGGGAGGATCCAGAATTGGGGAGTCTCTAGCTTCTATCACAGAGTCCCCATCTCAGGATTCTCCGCGGGGATGCTGTGGGCTGCTTCGGGGAGCCATGAGGTCCCAGGAATGTCACACATGGCCTGCAGCAGAAGCCCCAGTTGGAAGAAATTGGCAAGATCCTGCTGCACGTTTAGGGATGGTTGTTTCTGACTTTGAAAATGATGTTCAGGGCACCTGGGTGGCTCAGTCGGTTAAGCGTCCGACTTCAGCTCAGGTCATGATCTTCGCGGTCAGTGAGTTCGAGCCCCGCATCGGGCTCTGTGCTGACAGCTGGGAGCCTGGAACCTGCTTCAGATTCTGTGTCTTCCTCTCTCTGCCCCTCTCCTGCTCACATTCTCTCTCTCTCTCTCTCTCTCTCTCTCTCTCTCTCTCTCTCAAAAATAAATAAACATTAAAAAAATTTTAAAAAAGAAAACATTCAGTCCCAATACTATCCTGACTTCTGTAACCTCAACACTTGGGACCCAGCAAAGCCCATCCACTCTCTACTTAAATCCTTTCCAGCTTTGAAGATGTGGGTTAGGGCTCCTGGGCTCTATTTTCACCAGCACATCTTTCTGGAAAGATGACAGTAATGAGCATCTACGGAGAGATATAATCTGGCAGCTTCGTTGGACAATGAGGTTGATAATAGGGAAGTCAGGGAGGTGAATGCCATGGCTATAGCTACATGGGGGGGGCTACATTTGAAAGGGTCAGGGTCACAGGTTAGGGAGGGCCATGGTTTTTTCATGTTTATTTATTTTTGAGAGAGGCAAGGAAGGGCAGAGAGAGGGGGACCGAGTATCTGAAGTAGGCTTTGCGCTCATAGCAGACAGCCTGACTCGGGGCTTCACCTCACAAACTTCAAGATCATGACCTGACCTTAAGTCTGATGCTTAACTGACTGAGCCACCCAGGTGCCCCAGGGAAGGCAGGTTTTAAAGGGCATCTATAGGGGCGCCTGGGTGGTTCATTTGGTTTCGATTAAGCGTCTGACTTTGGCTCAGGTCATGATCTCACGGTTAGTTGGAGTCCCGCATCGGGCTTGCTGCTGTCAGCACAGAGCCCTCTTCGGATCCCCCGTTCCCCTCTCTCTCTGCCGAACCCCACTCTTGCATGCTTTCTCTATCTCTCTCTCAAAAATAAACATTTAAAAGAATTTTAAGGGCATCTATAGGCAGGGCGTGTTTGCATTGCTCCCCACAAACACCAAACACGAGGGGAACTCAATGAGAGGTCCCTCCATTGAGTACACGGGCTACCCACCCCCATCCTCCAGCTGTCACATTTGGTTCCTTTGCTGTTCTCTCTGTGGTCCTCTTTCTCAGACTTTTGCCTGCGGAGAAGACCCAAGTAACACACGTATCGTATGTACAGACCCCACCCACCTGAGCCCTACATAAGGAGAAGCCAGACTCACTGGGAAGAACCCTGAAGCGTTGGCTGGATTTGGGGAGTGGGTGTTCTGGGAAAGGCCCGCCTTCATCACCTGAGCAGAGGGGAGAGGTCACCAGCGGACAGCGGCAGTTCACCAAACGCGGAGCCGAATGATGCCATTAGGAGGGCAATTTTACTCCCACCAGCAAACCTGCTTCACTGACTTGGGAGGGACGGGGTGATGCAGTGGTTAGGGACCTGGGTGCTGGACCTGAACCCTGGCTCTGCCACTTGCTAACTGCATGATCTGGAGCAAGTCACATCACCTCTCTGTGCCTTAGTTTCCCCTTCTGTTAAAATGAGGGTTAGTAAGAGCTCTTCAGAGGTTTGTTGCAAGGACTATAGGAGTTAACGAGACAGTAGCTGGTGCCTGATGAGGGCTTTGTGAAAGTTAACTACGCTGAGTATTCATTGCACTCCCTGGGTCGGAAACACCAGGTAAAGGTGGCTCACAGTTTTATTAGAAAGTAACTCGCTCCTCAACCTCATTTTAAAAACCTTAATTGATGTCATCAGCTGTCCAGAACCTTTGGCACACACCGGGCTGACATGAGAAACGACACAGAGACCTACCACTTGTGGTAGCAACATTAGCTGAGAACAGCAGGAAGGTCAGGAGAGTGAAGTTCGAGGCCAGGAGCGCGGGGAGAGGGCACAGGCTCAAGAGTCACTTGTCTCTCCACTCAGTGGGAGAGCTCAGAGCATCCGTGGCCACATGCGGCCAGGTAGGGGGGGGCTTCGGTTTTCTGGGTCTCAGTTTTCTCATCCATCAAACGGGGATAAGAATAGTCCTGTCCCTTCTGCGGAGCTAGCATCCTAAAAGGCATTCTGGGCAAGGGGACCGCAGGAGCTGAGGCCTGGGAGCCTGAAAGCAAAGGAGTGTGGCCCGGGATGCTCGAGAGGCAGGGTGCTTGGGAAGGGGGGACCGTGGGGTACAGGGCAGCGTACCAACAGGACTCCCTGCTGAATAAGGCAACACAGTATGACTCTGGTGGTTGTTTCCTTTTCGGCCCTAGAAATGCGAGGTTTCTCTCTCTGAGGCAGAGAGGAAGTAAAGATGTGGAGCCCCCGGAAAAGGGGCACCCTAAATGCTGGGCCTTTTGTCAGACGCTTCTAAACCTGGGATGTGGAAATGAAAATGCTATTGAACTCGGGGCTTTAAAGGAAACAATCACCAGGGAGAGTGTCTCCGACGGCAGAATTCCAGAAAGAGGGAAAGCTAGTGAGGAAACACTGACCCACACTCCCGTGTTGCGTGAACGTCTCGGGGCCCATCTGCACTCCCAGGGAGAAACTGCCGGCTTTGAAAAGCAGTTTCTGCACAGAGTCTTGAGTGCTTGAGGTATTTGTAGACAATTTAGAACAAGAAAAACCCTTCAAGAGAAGCAGGGCACCCCTACTCCTACCTGACCAGCTCTGATGCCTTCTCCCCACCCCACCACTAGGACACTTTTAGAACCTTCAGGAAAACAAAGGCTTTGGGTTTTTTGGTGTGTGGGTTTGTTGTTTTTTTTTTTTTTAATGATGTATTTCTTCTAATGCACTAAGACGAATCAGTTTCTTTTCTTTAACATTTTTTAAGTTTATTTATTTATTTTGAGAGAGAGAGAGAGAGAGAGAAAAGGAGGAGCAGAGAGAGAGAGACAGAGCGAGAATTCCAAGCAGGCTCTGCAATATAAACGCAGAGCCCAACAACGGAGCTTGAACTCACGAACCGTGAGATCATGACCCAAGCTGAAACCAAGATCCGGAAGGAAGCTCGACCAACTGAGCCACCCAGGCGCCCCAGGACAAATCAGTTGCGAAAGAAGAAGATAAAATGTTGACTTTATTTCACCGTGGAAAATGGGTGCTCGGAGATAAGAATCATCTTATATAAAACAATCACAATAAATAAATAAATAAAAATAAATAAATAAGAATTGCTTCAAAGGGGCTCAGGGAGTTGATGAAGAATCAGACGCAGATGTCTGCATCAGCACTTCCTCTTAATGCCTTCTCAGCACTGTGTGGGGGGGAGAAAGGGTGATGACGGCGTCAGGTGGGAAACTGAGGCAGGATCTGAGCTTCCCCACACTGGGTGTGATCCCTGCCACCACCACCCGCCCCCCCATCCTCGGCTGATCTGGGTGTTTGAGGCTTTAGAATAATTCACTCTCTGGACCTCAGTCTCCTCATCTGTAAACTGGCAATTATTGCTGCCCTGGTGATCCCGTCCTCTGCCTTTGAGGCTATAGACAGGCTGGGGGAAACCAGGAGGAAAACGTTTAGGACTCTTTCTGCTCCAAGGAGATGCAGCCAGAGAATGACTGGATTCCATCCTAAGGCGACTCTGACCCTTTTGGCCAGAGAGGCAAGAGAAGGTGGTAGGGACTCGTGGACATAGTAACAAATGATGTCCACATTTAATATTTCCAGAAAAGCGCCCCTTGGCCCTAAGCACTGTCAGCAAGAGAGAGTAAAACCCAAGTGTCTTTTTCTCAGAATTGGTTCCCAGAGACAATAACCCAGAAGTGGTTCCGATGGTGGGACCCATAGGAGTGGGGCAGGGGGATCAAGCTGGCAGGGAGGGGGCTTACCATTGCAGCCCAGGCCACTGAGGGAGCCAATCCGGTCCAGCCTCCGGCCAAAGCACCTTGAATCACGCATCATCTTGGAACTGCCTAGTCGTCTCAGGGCCCCGAGGACATTGTCACGGGGCGCAAGGACCCGCGCAGGGGGTTCCTCCTGGGCCTCCCAGGATTCTGCGGGGCTGTGGCCCTGCTGGAGGGGTCCCAGGGCCATCTGGGCTTCCTGCAGCTCTGAAACTGTGTCCCGCAGACCGTCCAGCAGCTCCTGCAATGCGTGGGGACAGCCCCAGCCTCAGCAACCCGCACCTGGCCAAACCGCCCTAGACGGAGCTGAGATGAACCAACCACCTTAGGTAGGGGTCCTGGCACCCAATCCGGTTGCTTTCTAATCCCTTATCACTAATTCGCTAGAGGGGCTGAGGACCTTTTGGGACAATAGCTCAGGACCCGTTCAACTGCTGCTACCCACAGCAGCCTTTTCGCAGGCTGAAGCTCTCTCACCTGTATTGCGGACGCTTCCGAGGCGGGGCCGGGGCCGCCCAGCGGGTGGGAGCGACCTCCTAGTGGCGACAGGTGCAAGAACAGGAGGAGCAGGAGGGCCCGGAGCAGCGCCGTCTTGGGGTCCATGTCACCGGAGAGAAAGAGACCGTTGCCGCTGCCGCTGCGCTGTGGTCCGGGTCACGTCTCACCTCCTAGAGGCCGGCGGACGCTCTCCCGGATCCTGCGACAACCTCGGCCTTTTATCCCGGGCCTGGGGTTATCTCTGATTTATCGGCCGCATTCCGGCACGCTGAGCTCAGGGCGGGGGAATGCACCCCTCCGCGCCTGCGACCATACTCGCTGGGGGTGGATGCTGGGGAGAGCAGGCCTTGTATAGCAATGGGCCCGGCCGGGGGGCGGGAGCGCGCGGGGGACACCAACAGGTCCTTCGCCTCGCGCTGCCTCCTTTCCTGCAAAACTCCCAGGGCCTCTCCTCCCCACCCCCAACCATTCTCGGAGAGGGCAGACACAACTCCAGCGTTCCGAGGCCCCACGACGCAAGTGCGGGGCGCACGGGGTGACTCAGAGCCAGAACAGTCCCAGCCAACCCCCCGCAACCGGAGCGCGTCTTCCCTCCCCTCGCCTGCCTGTAACTCGGCACGGGCGCGGCTCTCTGCACCCTGCGCCGCTGCACGTCTTCGGGGCACCCTGACCGCTGTCCGTGGTTCTGATGGTTCTGAGCAAACTCAACCAAGAGGTCTCGCTCTCCTCAACCCAGGTCTGGCCGGAAAGACAAGCATGCAGCAGAGACCTTTGAGACCCCTCCCCACCCTCTCACAACTGCCTGCACTAGGATGCTAATTCTCCAGTATCATCTGATTAAAAGCCTGGGTATGACAAGGAACTTCTGGAATGCTGACCCTGCTTCCATCCCTTAAACGGTAGAACTGATTTGGCTGGAATTTTGAGAGGCAAGGCCCAGAGATGAAGTCATCCAGGAATGCCTTCTATCAAACCTCCTCCAGGTGCCAACACTTCCTCTCCCCCACCAAGCCAGCACGTGATGGAAAAAAGCAAGGATGACTGGAAGATGGTTATCTATTTGGTGGGACACTACAGGTATGAGGAGTGCCCCTCCCCAGTGCCTCCCTCATCTGACCATCCGTGACCTAATTCCCATTAGCAGATGGTCTGGACCTCCCATCTGTGATTGCAAATGAGGCTGCAAGGAAAAATGGCCCTGGGAAGAGACACAGCAGATTAACCACCCCCCCCCCCAAGCGTACATGACTGATGTCACCACCCCTTCCAGATGCCTTGTGTTGACAAGCAGCACGATGAGAGAATGGGGTATGGGTGATGGAGAAAAGGCAGCAAGGGGCAGAAGCAGTGACCTCTAAACAAATCTTACCTTCAAAAAATAGCATCTGCCAGATGTGTGAGAAAAATACTGTTTATTGTTTTTCATTTTTTAAATGAGGGAACAGGGGCACCTGGGTGGGTCAGTCAGTTAAGCATCCGACTTGATTCGGCTCAGGTCATGATCTCACAGTTTGTGGGTTCGAGCCCCACGTCAGGCTCTACTCTGAATCCCTGCTTGGGATTTTCTCTCTCTCTCTCTCTCTGCCTCTCCCCTGTTTGTGCTCTATAAACAAACAAACAAACAAACATACTTATTTTTTAAAAAGTGAGGAAACAGAGCTCAGAGGAATTAATATGCTTTCTTAGTTGATGACTAGGAAAGCTTGGGTTCCAACCCAGGCAGTCTGATTCCAGACCTGAACCTCTTAATCACCACCAGGGTGATTGCAAGGGGTTTCTACTAAAAGAAAAAGTAGATTAATTCATTGTCATTTCCAAAGGTAGAGAAAGCTGTGCCATGAGGGATGTGTAAGTTGGTGGCTGTGTGCAAGAAAAAGGATGTAAAGTGTGGCTAAGATGACCATTTTGCAGATGAAGATGGGGGGACAAGGGGTAAGAGCTCCATAAAGATGCCAGTCCTGGGAAGATTCTGGGGGCCGGAGTGCGTGTGTGTGTGTGTGTGTGTGTGTGTGTACATACACCACAGGAAGAATATCCAGAGATTAAGTGAAAGTGAAAGAGAAAACAAAATCCAGTCAAGTGGCAGAGCTGAGTCAGAGGGTCAGAGGCTGCTGAGAATGTAGAGTCCCTCATGCTGACGTTAGAAGTAAAGAGTTGGGGGGGCGCCTGGGTGGCTCAGTCGGTTAAGCGTCCGACTTCAGCTCAGGTCATGATCTCACGGTCCGTGAGTTTGAGCCCCGCGTCGGGCTCTGTGCTGACAGCTCAGAGCCTGGAGCCTGTTTCGGATTCTGTGTCTCCCTCTCTCTCTGACCCTCCCCCATTCATGCTCTGTCTCTCTCTGTCTCAAAAATAAATAAACGTTAAAAAAAAAAAAAAGAAGAGTTGGAAGCAAGACAGAGTCCATCAACCAGCATCTATCAAGAAATGACCCGGGGCGCCTGGGTGGCTCAGTCGGTTAAGCATCCGACTTCAGCTCAGGTCATGATCTCTCAGTTCATGAGTTTGAGCCCCGCGTTGGACTCTGTGCTGACAGCTCAGAGCCTGGAGCCTGCTTCAGATTCTGTGTCTCCCTCTCTCTCTGCCCCTCCCCCACTTGTACTCTGTCTCTGTCTCTCTCTCTCTCAAAAATAAATAAAACGTTAATAAAAAAGAAATGACCCTGCATGTAACCTGAGCCTCACTTTGCTCTTCTGCAAAATGGACACATACTCCCTCCTTTCAAGGACTACAAGAGAGAAAATGAAGTCGTAAAAAGCCCAGGGCATCATGGGAAGAGACAAAGAATTAGGAATACAATTTCCCTGAAGGAGATAGTGATCTCACTGGGAGAAGAGTCAGGCCAGGGAAACAATTAAGTGCTAAGCACTCTGACGGAGCCTCCACCTGCCCGGGGTGGGCCGGGGGGATTGTAGAGAAGATTTTAGGGAAGACACAGGACTGGATACATCCTTCAGGACCTTCTGTCCAGTGAAGAACAATGTATTATCAATCAGCTGTCACACCAGATCATCCCCACGAACACTTATGAGCACCCCCTGTGTGCCACTCATCTTCCACTCCTATTAAGTGGAGCTTGTACCACTATGTCACAGCATTACTGTACAAGGGTTAAATGAGATGGTATATGTCGTAGACTGCACAATTTTCCCCAAAGATGTCCATGTCCCAGTCTCTAGAAACTGTGAATATATTGCTTAATATGGCAAAGGGGGCTTTGTCTATGTGATTAAAGATCTGGAGGTAGAAAGATTATCCTGGATTATGGGGGGGGGGCTAATATAATCACAAGGGTCTTTATAAGAGGGAAGCAGGAGGATCAGGGTCAGAGAGAGAAAAATGGAAGGATGGAAATGGAGATCAGGTATGAGAGAAGATTCTACACTACTACTGGCATCTTTGAAGATGGAGGAAGAAGCCATGAGCGCAATTGGCCTCTAGAAGCAAGAAAAAGCAAAGAAATGGATTCTTCCCTAGAGCTTCCAGAAGGAACACAGGCCTGCCTGCCAGCACCTTGAGTTTAGCCCATTGAAACATACTTCAGGCTTCTGATCTCCAGAACTGTAGGGAAATAAATTTGTTATTTTAAGGCACTAAGTTCGCAGCAATTTGTTTCAATGGTAACGTGCAATTAATCCAGTATACGCAAAATGCCGAGCATAGTGCCCGGTACTTAATAACCCTTCCGTAAAGGTGGTTGTGGCGGCAATGTTGGTTCTTAGCAGTGTCAAACCTTAGGTGCTAGGTGCTGGCTACAGAGAAAGAACGAAGCCCCTTAATTCATTCAACAAGCCTTTATTGAACGCGTGGGGTCTCCGTGGTCTGGAGCCCGGACTCTGAAATCAGACTGCCTAGATCCAACAACACCTCAACCTTTTGCTACTTATGGGATCTCAGGCAAGTTACCGCGCATCTCTTCACCTTTTCTCATGTCTGTGTTACACGGTTGTCATGAGGAGGGATGAGACTGTGCAGGCAAAACTAAGCTTTCTGCTAGGAAGTGGGGACACAGAATGAACAAGACAGGCTCTGCTCTTGGGGAACGCACAGTGCAGGGAGAAAGATGCAGTCACAGAGTCCCCAGGGTGGTGTGGCCACCGACACTGGAGAGTCCTGGGTGTGCTCTGTAAGCACAGCAGGAAGACTCAGTCGAAGGGGGAGCTTCCCGAAGAAGTTATTACTGAGCTAAGGCTTTGAAGGATAAGAAAGAATTATCCACGGGGATGCCTGGGTGGCTCAGTCGGTTAAGAGTCCGACTTCAGCTCAGGTCATGATCTCGCGGTTTGTGGGTTCGAGCCCCGCATCGGGCTCTGTGCTGACAGCTTGGAGCCTGGAGCCCGCTTCAGATTCTATGTCTCCCTCTCTCTCTCTCTCTGCCCCTCTTCTGCTCATGCTCTGTCTCTCTCTCTCTCTGTCTCAAAAAATAAATAAAAACATTAAAAAACAAAAGAAAGAATTATCCATTAGAAGGAAGATGAGGAGGGCATTCTGGGCAGAGCTGAGGGCTGCTTAACTGATCAACTGCCACCTCTAGTCTCTTAGTGTGGGCTGCCTTATAGCAAAATACCATAGACTGGGTGGTTTATAAGCAACAGAAATGTATTTCTCATGATTCTAGAAGTTGGAAAGTCCAAGATCAAGACTGGTAGATTCCATGTTGGGTGAGAGCCCTCTTACTGGTTCGTAAGCACTGTCTTTGCCCTATAACCTCAACTGGCAGACGGGACAAAGGAGCTCTCTGGAGTCTCTTTTAAAAGGGCAGTAATCCCATTGTGAGGGCTCCACCCCCACGACCTAATCACCTTCCAAAGGTCCCACCTCCTAACCCCCTCACATTGGGGAAATAGGTTTCAACAAATGAATTTGTCGGGGGTGGGGGGGGCACACACAGACAATCTATAGCATCTAGGCTCTTGTCAGAAGGGAGAAGACGCAGACAAGGAAAGGTTTGGGGCAAATGTGCTGACCTACTTCTCCTTAGCTCCCCTCTGACTCTGACCTCCAGCCCTGGGCAGCCAGAAAGGGCGGCACAATGACAGCACCGACCTCCGGGGAAAGGGGAAGGAGGAAGCAAGGCACACTGTCCAGGGGGTCCACAGGTGGTAAGTCTCTGCCCGCTGTTGTCTCATGGTGTGGCTTTTATGCCCGTCATTCCTCTGCTCTGGGACTCTGTTCCCCCTTGTGTAGAATGAAGGAATGAAATGAAGATTTCTCACAGGTGCAAAAGCCCTGTGAGAGTCAGCTGCCCCTCGTTCATGGTTAGGTCTGCTCGCCGGCTCCCAGCCCCTGCTAGTATCTGCATCTTCTGTGACTCTTTACACTTTCTCCAAAGGCCAGAAAATATCTGCAGAAGAGCCATCAGATCCTTCACAGCTGTGGCATCAATGCAGGTGTGCGTGCATGTGTGTGTGTGTGTGTGTGTGTGTGTGTGTTGGGGGTGCTTTGGAAACCAGCATATGAGTTCATGAGTGTGTAGCTCTTCTTTGCTGTGAAGTGAATCTCTAAACTGATGGTTATTAGAGGGAAGGCT